TTCATTCTGCCATTGGTACTGATAAAAGTTTGTTCCTTCTGCCATTGGTACTGATAAAAGTTTGTTATAATTATTAACAACATTATTAATATTAATGCAATTATTATCACTAGTAATTCCATTGAATGTAAAGAGAAAATTAAACATTTTGAGAAAAGAAAAAAAACAAACAATAAAAGCTGTTCATTTTGCTAATCTTTATAATGATAAAATTAAACGGTCTTTCGTGGGTAACTTGACTTTATAATGATAAAATTAAACGGTCTTTCGTGGGTAACTTGACTTTATAATGATAAAATTAAACGGTCTTTCATGGGTAACTTGACTTTATAATGATAAAATTAAACGGTCTTTCAGTGGGTAACTTGACTTTATAATGATAAAATTAAACGGTCTTTCGTGGGTAACTTGACTTTATAATGATAAAATTAAACGGTCTTTCATGGGTAATTCGAACACCCTTTAAACAAATTTTTTCCACCGGAGGGACAAAGGTCGATTCCCCCCCCCCCCTCGATGGACACAGGATTTTGCCCTAAAACAAACAAATAAACGAGTTACTACCATCGATCGATGCATTCTTTATTTGTTATCACATTTTGAGTCTTCCAACAAACATAAGGAAATCCAGCGAGAGATAACTTCAGTCTACAAGTAGCAGACTTTAAAACTTGAACTTTTATACGTAACAAATCTTAGTAAGTTAAGTTTCCTACATCAGTGGAGCTTGCATGATGATATTTGTTTTATCTAGTCACAACTGAAGGTATTCATCCACCAGAAGTCACTGTTTGAAAACATCTCTTTCACCAAAAACCAGGTCCAATATCTGACTTTAGATACCAGCATCACTAATCAAACATTCACGTCCAAAGTTTCCAATACAACTTTTGATTTTGGACTTATAAGCTTTCCATTTCCAAATACAAACGTTTTAAATAAGTTACCATGGTTACAAGTCACGTTCTCATTCTTCACAAATGAAGTTTCTCTCACGGTATTTGTGAACAATATTGATTTGTCTCTGTTGTTACTAGCCCACACAATGGGCTATCTGTGCTATGCCCACCATGAGGATCGAAAAACGATTTTAAGCGTCGTAAGTAAGCCTGGGGACATACCACTGAGCCACTGCATGCAACAGTTTTCTTTCCACCAATTAAATTAGAGTAATAGTAAATAACTTTAATTGTATTGTTGACCACCACTATTTTGTTTCCTTCAGTTAGTGTGCTCTTACTATAGTTTGTGCAAGCTGCATAACAGTTCTCTATATGATATTAAGATGTTTTACTTTTTTTAATTACATTATTGTATTGTTGACCACCACTATTTTGTTTCCTTCAGTTAGCGTGCTCTTACTATAGTTTGTGCAAGCTGCATAACAGTTCTCTATATGATATTAAGATGTTTTACTTTTTGTTAATTACATTATTGTATTGTTGACCACCACTATTTTGTTTCCTTCAGTTAGTGTGCTCTTACTATAGTTTGTGCAAGCTGCATAACAGTTCTCTATATGATATTAAGATGTTTTACTTTTGTTAATTACATTATTGTATTGTTGACCACCACTATTTTGTTTCCTTCAGTTAGTGTGCTCTTACTATAGTTTGTGCAAGCTGCATAACAGTTCTCTATATGATAT